GCCCCTGCCCCTCTCCTTAAAGTCCATTGACAATTATCTATCTCCAGTTTGCCTTGACCGTTAGTATTTCCATTTCTTGGGTACACCTAGCATGAAATAAACTTGTATTTTTGAACTCTCTCCTGGCTCCTGATTTCTTGCACCTGACACCAGATGGCACAACCTCACATGCCCTGAATCGCTTGCCAAATGGGCAGCCGTATAAAATGGACAGACAGGCAGATAGATAGCCAGCAGAGATTCTGTTTTTCCACTTGGAAGTTGGAGGAGGAACCTCTAAGAAGTTATTTCAGTAGAAATGCCTGGGAGAGGAAAACCCAAGGAGAGGGATGATTCTGAGATGACGACATCTTACACATGATATATGTTCGGCAAGATTGTTCCAAGAACTTAATGTAAGAATAATTTTTCTGGATGAGCCCTCCAGGCAAGCATTTGATTTCTGTTACTGACCAACTGGAGGCCTCTGGCTGCTGGCAAATGAGAGAAGGAAAGAAATCCCTCTGTTGTTATTCTTCGCTTGGTAACCGATATTTGGAAGCCTGCAGCCCTCAACTTGGAAGGAGTGTCACAAATATTTTAACCGTTTCTGAAACGGAAAGCATTCAAGTTTTGCATGATTTTGATTGCTGTCTGCTGCCCTTTTTCCAGCTGTATTTTACCCCCTTTTTTTTTTTAGGTTGGCAAAGAGAACTAGTCAGGATTATGTATGCACTGGGTGTATCCTGCAATGTAAGAGCATTATCTGGGCATTTCTATTCTTAATTCCTTCCTTAATGATCCCTAGTATGGAATTTGCTTCTTCTACAACTGCTACATTGGGCTGATTTGTTAACTGAGCTGTCCGCTGTGACCTCAAAATCATTTTCCCGGCTTATTATAGATAATTCAGACCCCACAATCGCTTGTTCTCACCCAAATGTGATTGGCTTTACACTTACACTGAATTTGTCGCTGAGTGATCCTATGTAGCTCTTCACAATCACAGCTGACTTTCCCACTCTGAATACAGGCAGTCCTCAATGACCACAATTCGGACTAGAATTTCCATTGCTAAGTAAGACGGTTGTTAAATTTCGAGTCATGCCCAATTTGACAACCTATTTTGCCATAACTATTAAGTGAATCACTGCAGTTGTTAAGTGAATCATGCGGTCAGTAATTGAATCTGGGTTCTCTCCCCCATTCCAATTGCTTTGCTTGTAAGAAGTTAGTGGGGAAGGTTACAAATGGAGTTGACATGACCCTGGGACGCTACAACCATTGTAAATACATGCTGGTTGCCAAGCTCCAAAATGTTGATCACATGACCATGTTGGATGCTATGATAGTCGTAAATATGAGGACTGGTTGTAAATCACTTTTTGCAATGCTGCTGTAACTTTGAACAGTCACCCAATGAATGGTTGTGAGTCCAGGCCTACATGTGGTTTGATATTGTTTAGAATCTAGACATTTGCCAGGAATATATTCCACGATCTGTGCACCTCCTGTGAAGAGTCCAAAGATAAACAAACAAATTCTTCAGAATTTTTTTTTTAAAAAATCAAACAAAAGTTGACATCTACAGGATTTCATGTTACATTCCAAGGATACCAAATGAAGGAATGGATATGGGTGCAGCTATTCCTGTTCTCCTTTAAATTTTCAACTATATAAAAGTCAATTCGCACATTGCATAAATCTCCAGTGCAACCTTAGCAGCTTCTTTGAATCCAAATATTTTGATTTGTAAATCATAGCTTATGACAGTGGTATGTACAACCCAAAGTACTGGCATACCTTGTTTTACTGCGACTTCACAGATATTGTGAGATTTTTTTTTAAATAAGCTCCTTCACCAGTAAAAAAATTATGACTTCTGGATGGTTAGCATTTTTTAGCAATAAAGTTTTTTTAATTAAGGTATGTACATTTTTTAAAGTCATAATGCTATTGCCCACTTAATAGATTACAGTATAATATAAATATAACTTGGTTATGCAATGGGAAACCAAAGCATTTATGTGATTCGCCTTATTGTGATATTGCTTTATTGCAATGGTCTGGAATCAAATCCACAATATTGCTGAGGTACACCCGTATATATTATTGATTTGTTCCTGCAAACTATGGGTCAATAATAATTTGCAAAATGGATAGGCTGCCCAACTCTTAGTGACTCTGGGTGGTTTACAATGGTTAAAACATTTTTAAAAACAGAATAATACAAAAAAAAACCCCACCAAAATATTACAAGACAAAGGAACAATGATGGCAAAGAAAATAAACCCAGAGGGGAATACAGAGGAAGAAAGGGATATTAATTGTCCTCTTCAAATATATTGTTTTATTTTAAACAAAAACTAAGGACATTCACCTAAATAGTAGACTAGATGACCAAGACTGTCTTTTAACCTGTTCTAAAATGAACTTTGTTTTTTTATTTATTTAGCTTTTTAAAATGATAGATTGTTTTGTTTATTTTATTTATTTATAGAAGCATGATTTTCTTTTTGTATGCCCCACTGGATGACTCCAGGGAGAGAATAATATAAAAGTATAATTAACCATCATAGCATAAAATAGTATATAACACTGTTTTCATTGGCTGCCAGAATTAATTTTTAAAGTAGCTCTGGGGCAAATGCAATAGTGATGCAAATTGGTTCTGAATTATTTTCTGTCCTCTGAAGCCTTTTGTTCCCAGGAGAAAGATTTCAGAAAGAATGAAACCAGGAGATGTTTGTTTATTTCAGTTCTTATATACAGGTAGTCCTTGACATACAATCACAACTGAGCCAAAATTTCTGTTACTAAGCAAAACATCTGTTAGGTGAATTTTGCCCCACTTTATGCCCTTTCTTGCCACAGTTAAGTAAATCACTGCAATTGTTAAGTTAGTAACACGGTTGTTAAGTGAATCTGGCTTCCCCATTGACTTTGCTTGTCAGAAGATCGCAAAAGATGATCACATGACCCTGGGACACTGCAACTGTCATCAGTATGAGTCAGTTGACAAGCCTCTGAATTTTGATCGCGTGACCACAGGGAAGCTATAATGGTTGTGTGGAAAAAAATGCTCCTGAGTCACTTTTTTCAATGCCATTGTAACTTTGAACGGTCACTAAATGAACTGCTATAAGTTGAGGACAACCTGTAGATTTCTAAGTCTTTCTAATGCAGGGGTCTTCAAGCTCGGCCCTTTTATTTGTGGACTTCAACTCCCAGAATTCCTCAGCCAGGCACGCTTGCTGAGGAATTCTGGGAGTTGAAGTCCACAAGTCATAAAAGGGCCAAGTTTGAAGACCCCTGCTGTAAATGGCTGGGTCCTTAGGCCTCCATGTGTGGAGATTTCTAGGTTTGCTTTGCCAATGTGTGATCATCCAAACAGACCTTTTGTCCTTCCCTTAGTTTTACATCCCATGGTGTGTGGTTGGTTATGTTCAGTTTCAGTGCTTCTATTCACATTGGGTAATAATTGTGTAAGCCTGTGCTGGAGAGAGGAAGTTCACAATAGCACAAGGAAATCCAACAGCCAGAGGGGAAAATCCTTCTCTTGCCCCTTAATCCGTAGGACATATTGAGTGGAGATACAAGACATGAGCCATTCCTGGGTTCAACTTTCCATTGTTCTTTGGTTGCCCTTAACAGTTTTAATTTCAAACTACAGTCTTTTGGGGGAGAGAAGATTTTCTGCTAAGCAATAACTGAAGCAAATTGTAAAATGTTGCACAACAGGTTCCTGCCTTTAAGTATGATCATTACTTAAGGAAGGGGCAGGTTAAGATGTTGAAATAGCAACCTTGGCTTTCCGAAGAAGGTATAGGAATGAAATGTGTGTTTCAGGAATTTCTGGATCTGCTCTCATAAATTTAAAATGAAACTGACCTGCTTTAAATGAGCCTGGAGGGTCATGTGGATTAAAAAAAAAAAAAGTTGCTATATTTGGAACCCAAGGAAAAGTGCATGAAGCATTTTTTGGAATTAAAGCAGCCGTGTCATCTTCCAAGCTCACCAGCTGCATTAGCCATTTGAAGAGAATTGCTTTGAAAGATGTTTCAAAGACCTCTTTGGATTTGCACAGCCTTAGTTAACAGGAGACTATTTTCTGGGTGTTACTCTTTATAGTGGAAGATATGACATAATTTGCAGTCAATCTGAGTAGTTTGGCCTTCCTTAACTGGCATGTAGTTTCGACTGCGTCCTTAAGAGCACAGGAAAACCTAGGAGATAAATTGGACTAAAAGACTATTTTTCAGCAATAGGGATTCCATTATCTGTGAACTCAGCCTGTGTCATACAAACCCAACTCACTTCACAGGGTTATTGTGGGGAAAATAGGAGGAGGAAGGAGATATATTCGCCAACTTGAGTTGTCTGTAAAAATCATATAGATGGGGTAGAGATACATAAATAAAACTAAAATTGTTTTGTGTTTGATAAGGGCTTTGATAACATTTCCCACAATCTGACCATTACTTTCTCCCTTGTCATGCTGCAAACATTAATGCCTTACATCAAACTTTAATGCAGTGGTACCTGGGTACACAACTGCTTTGAAACTCATCGAATTTGGTATTCAACGCGTTTTGATGCAAAAATTTTGTCCTGGTACTCGTTGTTTGTTTGATACTCAATGCACAAGCTAGAACTTGTCACTGTCGGTTGCCTTGTGACTCACTACGTTATTCTTTGTGTGGGAAAAATTTGTTTGGGTACTCATCATTTTTGGTTCTCATCGCGCCTCCCAGAACCAATTAACGATGAGTACCGAAATACCACTGTATATTTTTTGGGAGAGGGGCATAAATTACGGGCTGAATCCAGCCAATGGCGCTTATATCTTAACTAAGGATGGATCTCTACGCAAGCTTTCAGTAGACCTAAAACTGGAAGATGGTTTTGAAGAGCAGAAAGAATTATGGACTGTTCTTGTGGAGACCCATACTGTGTTTGCCTCTGTCTCTGGAAAACATCATTGACATGTAACCTTTTTTTTTCTCCTTAATTTCTTATAGATATTCTCCATTTTTGCCTTTGCTACCTGTGGTGGATATAGTGGGCAAACATCTATATTTCTCACGTGTAGAAATGCCCAAAATATCACATGGACCCGTGATTTCTTCTATCCTTTCAGGTGAGATTATGTCACGTTTTTAAATCCACGTGGTTGTTCTTGGGTGTATCTGCCCGTGGTCAAGAAAAGTTATTATAGGAGATGACAGTTATTTGTAAAGATAATGAAATTGAGATAGAGCTGGTTTGGGCCAATCCCACTCTTTTCCACAATCTGCCTTGTATGGGGAAAAATTGAAGGTTGGTTAAGGACGCCATCTTGAGTTCCTGGTGGAAAGACAGGATCTGAATCAAATGAGTGGATAAATATTTTTATTGGAGAGATTACAGTAATCAGGACACACATGGTTACAATATCCTGTGGCAGCTGAATATTTGGAAATAATTCTCACTCAGTTGCACAACCAAGAAATAAGGATGGAAGGGTAACTTTTGTCATCCATTTTCAAACACTTAGCAAGCCTTTTCCTCATGACTGGTTTTATGGAAGACATTTGCTATTGGAAAAAGTGCTTCCAATTTTTTGTTCCCAAAAGCCTATGCAGGTTTACAAGTATTTATAGCAGACCTACTAGATTCTAATGCAGGGGTATCAAACTCGCAACATCATGTGATATGTCGCGACGTATTGCAACTTTTTTTCCATTACTGGCAATGGGGTGGGTGCATTTCGTTATAATGCATCTGGTCCGTGGACCAGCAGTTTGACACTCCTCCAGCACAGGAGATGGAGAATCCACCAATGGGTTACCTCTGTCTTCCTTCCCATTAGACCAAGTCAGCCAAACTTGTCACGCCCGTCCTGGATTAGGACACAACCAGTCTTGACTTGGTCTCCAGCCCTAACAGATATTACAATCTTGGTTCCCAGCAAGCAGGTTGTATTGAGCTTCCTTTGATGAATTCTTCTTTCATCCACAGTCATTTCAGCAGTGCTGGGATCAGCGCTGCTTCAGATGACTGCTGGAGCGTAGGTTTTCTTCCCAAGGCTCCTAACAAGAGCGGAGTCTTCCACTCTTACCTTGTCGAGCTCTTTACCATCACATAGCATTGGGATCAGCGGTGTAGCCTCCCCCCTCCACACGCCTGCGTCACCACGGAGGTCTCATTTGGCTTTCGCCTTTGAGATCTTTAACTGGTTTGCTGCTGTGGGATCGCGGAGACCTCAGATGGCTCCCTTTCCCTCCGGATTGTGCGGCCGCCATTTTGGCAGCCACTGTGGGATCGCGGAGGCCTTAGATGGCTCCTTTTCCTGCCGGATCGTACGGCCACCATTTTGGCAGCCGCTGGGTGGCCACGTAGGCCTTAATTGGCCCTCTTTGAAGCTGCAACCGCATGGCGAGCAGTTGATTGATCTCGCCCCAAGGGCTTGCCTTTTTGCTTCATTGCAGGCATTTGCCTGCTGACCCTAGCCTCTTTCCTCTTGTGCTTGGGTGTTTGAGCTCCGTAGCTGTCATATGGGTGCGGCCGCCATTTTGACGAGGCAACGGGCCACCATTGCCAACGGGCCTAGACAAGGATCATTCCACCTTGTCAGCAGCCCTTTTGCAAGGGCCTTATTCCCAAGATCATACCCCCAGATAAAATACCAGGCCTAGGCCCATTGGAGGCCGAGACAACCTTGGCCGCCATCTTGGACGGCCTCATTAATCAAGAGCAATCACTCCAGTGTAGACAGCACAGGCCTCAACTAGTGCCTCACTTACAGACCTGGCACCACTTTGTGGGCTACGCATGTGTGGGCTGTCATCACAAAGGTGATTTTGCCGCCTCCATAGAGCCACATGCTGCGCAAAGGTGCTGACACGTCACACCCTTGGCACTGTCACCACCAGCGCCCTACGAGCAAGCTGGCTGTCATCACACCGTGATTTTGCTGCGGCCCTAAATGCGACCGGACCATTAACGGGCATTTTCGGTCAGATAGCCAGGGGAGCAGGGTGAACCAAGCCCGATATTGCCTTAGCGTTCCCCTCAATCAGACCCTTCACCAAGCTCAGATCCAAACCCGGTGTTTTTTGAGCCCGTCGTGACTCAACACCATGTCCCTTGTCCATCTCTCTTCTTGAACACGGTTCGGAAGCAATGGGTCTCACCTGGCACCTTCGCTCCTCCGGGAGGAACGGACAGGAAACTGTTCAGCGTGGCACCAGACTTGGCTGACGCATTTGAGGTGCCAATGGTGTATGAACTCTTGGCCCCTCTCTTGTCCTTGTCTACAGTGTCAGGGAATATGGCCGAGGCACTGAAGGCTGAGGACAGGGATGGGAATTGACTTTCCGCAGGACTCACCAGGCGGCAGCAGCGTGGGCGATAAGAGCGGCTACTTGTACATCTTTTTTTGCTAGGACCTCACTCCTTTGACTCCATCAACTACAGGCCAGGCTCCCTCCAGACCTGAGCAAGCTAGTTGCAGCATCGGAATATGTCTCTGATGCAACACTGCATGCGGCCAGGTTTTCCTCCAGGACCATGGCCTCCAAGGTCACAGCACGACTACTACTATGACTTAAGAATTGGCAAGCTGATGCCAAATCTTATACGGCCCCTTATCAGGGAGGTCAGCTGTTTGGGGAGGCCCTAGCACCTTATTTGACCGAGAATAAGGATAAGCAGAAGGTGCTGACCCATCTCAACAGGCGGGCTGACAGGTGTACCAACCCTTAAGCCCACAGGCAGTCTTTTCCGTCAGGAACAGGCTTGGGTCCCACACAGCCCCCGCCCCTTCACAGCTAGACAGGATTGCCTGTCTAACAGACCGGGTCCCAGACCCAGGCAGCAGTACCAGGGCAAACGGCCCTTTTGGGGGGGGGGTTTGCCCCTTTAGAAGGTCCAAGTGACTCTCGAGCTGCCCCTCCCACAGGCGGCAGACTAACACTCTTTGCCCACCAATGGGAAGCCACCACCACAGACTCCTGGGTCCTCCAAACCATTCAATATGGTCTGTCCCTAGAATTCGTGTCCAGCCCACCAGGGCGCTTCATTTCTTGCCCCCAATCAAAGAACCCAGTCAAAAAGGGCCTCATGCAAGAGGCCATTCATCATCTCTTGGATATAAGAGCCATAGAACCGGTGCCGGCTGGTCAACAGGGCGGGGGATTCTATTCCATACTCTTTGTGGTTCCCAAGGCCTCGGGAGGATGGAGGGTAATTCTAGACCTCAAAGGTCTGAATTCCCATATTGCATACCAGAAATTCAAAATGCAAACGCTCCAGTCCATCTTGGGCAGCGTAAGGAAGGGAGACTTCCTGACGTCCATAGACCTCACAGAAGCGTATCTCCACATCCCCATCTTCCCTGACCACCGGCAGTTCCTCAGGTTCTGTTATATGGGCCATCACTACCAATACAGGGCCCTGCCGTTTGGCCTTTCGTCAGCTCCAAGGGTGTTTACCAAAATCCTGGCAGTGTTCGCCACACACCTGAGACTGGTGCTGGTACACATCCAATGCTACCTGGACAACATTCTCATCCAGTTGTCCTCCTTTCTGGCGGCCCATTGTCGTTGTCGATCAAGGTTCTCCAGGAACACAGGTTCTCTGTGAACTTTCAAAAGAGCCAGATGGTTCCCTCGACCCAACTCCTACACCTGGGAGCCGTCATAGACACATTCAGTTGCCAGGTCTACCTGTCCCAGGAATGTCGGGACAGCATCTGGACCCTGGTCCTCAAGGTATGCAGGGAGCGTGTAGTGACGCAGGCACTGCTTTCCCAACTCTTGGGAAAGATGGTTTCGTGTATCACAATAGTGCCTTGGGCCAGACTGCATTCCAAGAACCTCCAATGGTTCCTGCTCCCCTTCCAAAGGTTGGGCACCTGCTCCTCCAACCAACAAGTAAGGGTTCCTACTCAGACCCTGCAGTCCCTCCGATGGTGGTCCTCGCCAGCGGTAGCCAGAGGGTCATTTTTCAAGGAACCTGTTCGGCTCACACTTACAATGGACGCCAATCTGTTCAGCTGGGGAGCACACCTTCGGTCTCAGTTCGCTCAGGGGCAGTGGTCCCAAGCAGACCTGAGACACAATATCAATTGTTTGGAGCTCAGAGCCATACACCTGGCTCTCCGCCACTTCCACAACTTGGTTGCAGGACAACACGTGCTAGTCTTCATGGACAATGTGGCGGCAAAGGCCCATGTGAACCGGCAAGGGGGTACCCGGTCCAGGTCCCTCATGGCCGAGGCCCAGTTATTGGGCTCCCGGGCAGAGACCAACCTGTCCTCCCTCAGGGCTGAACACATCTTGGGGGAGGTGAGCCGGCAAGCGGACTTTCTAAGCAGGTTGACCGTGGACCATTCCGAATGGCGCCTGCACCCAGACCTCTTTGCAGAGATAGCGCAGAGGTTCGGCCAATCAGTCATAGAGTTATTCGCTTCTCCGGCGAACTCCCAGCTCCCGAGATTCTTCTCCCGGTTCCCGTCTCCAGGGGTGGAGAGAGCGGATGCTCTTCGAGGTCCATGGCCTGCTTTACGTGTTTCCCCCTCTCCTCTGATCCTGGCAGCCATCCGCAAACTGCTGTAGGAACGGGCAGAGGAACGGGCAGAGGCTGTGGTTCACCGACCTCGTGAATCTCTCCAGATCTCCTCCATTGAGGATTCCACCAGATCATGTGTCCCTCAGCCAGGGGATTCTACAACACCCAGAACCCCAGTGGCTGCAATTAGCCGCCTGACACTTGAACACCGGATTCTGACCTGGGAATCATATTCGTCGGGCGTGATTTCCATGATTCAGGCCTCCCGACAGCCGGCGATAAATCGCATCTATGACTCCACATGGAGGAATTTTTGCCTTAGGTGAAGGAGGCAGCAACTAGATATCTTGGAATTGACGATTCCACAGATTTTGGAGTACTTGCTCGAAGGCCTTGATAGGGGCTTAGCGCCTAATACCATCCTCAGGCAGGTTGCGGCCCTATCAGCCTTGCTTACCTGTGCTAATTCTGTTCCTTTGGCCCAGCATCCCAGGATACGCTCCTTTCTCAAGGGCGCCACCAACACGAAACCGCCCATGGTTCACAAGTATCCCTCTTGGGAATTGCCGCTGGTCCTACGGGCCCTTACCAAAACGCCGTTTGAGTCTATCACAACTTGTGGTCTGCAGTCCTTGTTTCTCAAGGCTGCCTTCCTAGTCGCTATCACGTCAGCCAGGCAGATCTCTGAGCTTGCGGCACTGTTGGTCAGGGATGACCTCTGTACCTTTCACCAGAACCAGGTGGTCCTTCGCTTGGACCCTTTATGACACCTTTATTCCCAGGGTCAACACCCTTTTCCATAGAACCCAGGAGATTGTCTTGCCGGATTTTTGCCCCAATCCGTCTCATGACTTGGAAGGACAGTGGCATACACTGGACGTCCGCAGGGCATTACACTGTTATATCAAGTGAACGGCGTCCTTCTGCAAATCTGAAGCCCTCTTCGTTTCCTTTCACCGTTCCTCTATGGGACAGAGGGTGTCTGCCTCGACCATTGGCAGGTGGATCAGAGCCTGCATTGCGGAGGCGTACCAGTCGCATTCTCTGTCAGTCCCATGTCATGTCACGGCACATTCAACTCGCAGTGCTGCAACGTCTGCAGCATGGGCCACACAGGCGTCCATCGAGGAGGTTTGTAGGGCAGTGATATGGTCTTCGCCTTCTCCTTTTGTACAGCATTACAAACTAGACAGGTTTGCCTCTGCGGACGCCTCCTTTGGACAAAGGATCCTTCAGCAAGTCGTACCTAGGGACGAGGCCCTGGCCCTCACTGCTTCCCCCCCATTGGGACAGTAGGGCTTTGGTATGTCCCATTGGTGTATTCTCTATCTCCTTTGCTGGAGAAGGGGCGTTGTCTTACCTGAACGCCTTTTCTCAGCACGGAGATGGAGAATCCACTCTCACCCCTTGAGGTCCATCTCGGCCAGTGTTAGGGGTCTAGGAGCCAACACGTCTGACCATAGTCAGTGGCTTTCACCCTCGTCAAGACTGGGTGTGTCCTAGCCCAGGACGGGTGTGGCAAGTTTGGCTGACTTGGTCAAATGAGCAGGAAGACAGAGCTAACCCATTGGTGGATTCTCCATCTCTGTGCTGAGAAAAGGCGTTCAGGTAAGACAATGCCCCTTCTAACGGCTTTGTTCCTCATGCCATCCATCTTGTAAATTCACAGGATTCTTTTTTTCCCCCCGTGTATATGTACATTTAAACTAGACTGTGATATTTCTCTGTGTCATATATGTGTGTGTATGTGGGTATATGCATAATGGTATTTTTTCAGAGCTGGATGTGATGAAATTTCATTTTAATGTATGTTGATTAGCAACCAATAAAGTAGCATACATTAGCAAAAAATATTTATTCTGTTCTGTTCTGTTCTATTCTATTCTATTCTATTCTATTCTATTCCATTCCATTCCATTCCATTCCATTCCATTCCATTCTTATGCAGCATTGTAACACCATCCCTGGCCTCCCCAGCTTGCATGTGGCCTGTGCAGGGCCTCCCCCACCTCACCCCGTGGCACATACTTCCCAATGGCAGACTGCACTTCTTACCTGGGATTTTCCCCCCCACCATTTCCCACTTAATGAGCTGCGTATCTTGGGATTATGATGGTAACCAGGATTGTCATTGCTAAGAAATGCATTCACATGATGTGGTGATTTATGACCACATTTCTTAGTGATGGCAATTCTGGTCCCAATTGTTGTAACCTATAACCTGAGGTCTATATGTATCCTGCCCAAGTATTGTTAGATTTAAATATAAAATCTTCTGTGTAGAAACACACCTGATCTGAAAACACTTAAAGAAACGTGGATCAGCAAAAATTGCTGGAGACAAAGAAGCTTCCCTCTTTGTGGGAATGCATTCTGGTTGAAAAAGTGGACATTCATAATAAACCAAAATTGTGTTGAAATTATGACATGCCTATCACTTTGTAAATCCTGTCCTTCTATACTCTTTTTCGGACATCTGATGTGAGTATGTAAATTGCAGCATTTGCAACATAACACACAGGCACGTAAACACACAAACTTTTCATCAGCCTCATATGTATGCATGCCTGCCCGGGCAAAGATACGGTTGAAAATTGTTCACTTTTTCTTTTTGTTACCAGGTTGAGCAAAATTTCATTTGGACCTCTGGACTCAACAGCAAACTGCAACAATACTTGGCCCTCGTCCGTGTACTTGGTGGGAGATTTCGCCTCCTCTGCTGAATTCTTTGTGACTTTTGCTGTTCTTGTATTCCTGTACTGCACCGCTGCCTTAATACTGTATCTCGGTTACATGCACTTGTATCGAGGTGCTGGAAAACTCCCCATGATTGTAAGTCAACTTTGCTTTTCTATTATTTATAGCAGGGGTCCCCAGCTCCCAGTCTGCGGCTTGTTAGAATCCAGGCTGCGGGAGAAATGGGCAAGCACACGTGCACGTGAACCTCCACTTGTGCAAGCAGCGGGTGCCCTCCACTTGCGCAAGTGTAGCTTTCTGTGCGAATGCAAACGCCCTCTGCTCAAGTGCCTGACACTCCCGCAAGTGGAACTTCATGTGTAAGTGCAAGCACCCTTCGCTGGTGCACAAAACTCCATCCGCGTGTATGGAAGGCGCACGTGCGTGCTGTTCACACAAATGAAGCTGTGCACAGACGTGTGTGCCTCCCCCTCCCCCCCAGCACCACGCCACCAAACTGGAAAGGTTGGGGACCACTAATTCATAGCACAGGGTGAAGGTATGCATATTTCATGGATGGAAAACAATTGTGGGTGCCATTTATCCATAAGATTAATTTATTGAGCTGTAGTTTTATTTTTATTTATTTATTTTTAATTTATATCCCATCTTTGATATTTTTATAAACAGCTCAAGGTGGTAAGCATACATAATGTTCCCTCCTCCTCCAGTTTCCCCGACAACAATCCTATGTGGTGAATTGGACTGAGAGAAGGAGCTGGCCCAAAGTCACCCAGTTGGCTTTCATGCCAAAGACGGGACTAGAACTCCCCATCTCTTGGTGATTGGCCCAAAGTCACCCAGCCAACTTTGATACTTAAGATGGGATTAGAATTTAATCTCCCTTCTTTTTTGCCAACAAACCTTTCAAAAGAGAAGAAGGCTTTTGGAAAGGTGGGGTAACTAAGGCTAACATACAATTATTTAATTGAGATTGTTTTATTAATCTTGGGCAGACCAAGGATTTATCATACCTTGCTTTCATCATTTACTTACCCCCACTGAATCTCATGCCGTTTTTTAAAACTTGTTTTTAAAAGTAAGTTTTAAAAGCCTTATTCCAAAGATATTTCTTCAGTACAAATATATTTCCCTCTATTAGAAAATACTGTAAATATTATAGAAAAAAAACTTATTTTGAATAATAGCAAGAAAAGCTTCAAGTGCAAGCAACCAGAGCTTGTAAATAGCTAAAGTCAGCAACTTTATTGCCTATTACCTATGTTACAAGAATCTCAACAGACTGCTTGCCTTCCACTGGGAATGAGCAAGTAAGGGTTCATGGATCTTAGAGGAGGTCTAGCTTATGCTGCTTGTTGCTGCACAAAGACTCCAAGCTAGGTCCTTGCTTGACCTTCTTCTTCCAGCCAAAATGGCAGTTTCCCAACAAAAGATGTTTTCAAAGCCCTAAGATTCACTTACTTGCTGAATTTTTTAAACATAGTTTTCCTTTCATCTCTGTCCATTGCTCTATGCCTTTGGTGAGTGTGCAGCACCTCAGCCCCTGCCTGGGCAGCTGGATGCAATGGAACAGTTAACTCTGAGGCTGAGAAGAGATTCTGCATCCTTCAGAGAAATATTTAACCATAACAGTACATCTTTCTTCCTCTTTCTCTTGCCGCCGGATTCCAGGAGCTGTGGTGAGTGTGACATCTTTTCTGTAGATCAAAAATACCTCCTGATCAACAAGGCAGGACCTGTAATAGATATTGCAAGCATGCCCAGCTGCTCAAATTTGAAGTTCAGAAAGTTTGGGCCATTCCTTGGTCAATAAGCTTTTGGTGGATCCCATAGTTATGATATAGTCAATGTTAGTCCTTAGAATGATAGAGTTGATCTACTTGATTGTTTCTGCTAAAGCCTCTTATTTTTCTTCCTTCTCCAGGACTTCATCATTACAGTCATCATTTCTTTCCTGTGGCTGGTCAGCACATCAGCCTGGGCAAAGGCACTTGTTGATATCAAAACGTCCACCGGATCCAACATAGTTACGGGAACTGACTATTGCACTACACAGCCTGGGTTTTGCCATTTCAATGAGATCAGGAGGATGGGATCCTTGAATGTGTCTGTGGTACGTGGGCATGTGGTACATGGGCATGTGGTACATGGGGGGGGGAGGAACGGGGGGGGCAGGGCTGCCATTGATATGAGGCTGCCAAAGACTTTTGGTCACTCTCTGTTGGAGACAGAATAATAGAGATTGCACGTTAGCTGAAACTAGCAATAAGAAGAATTGGAGCCAAACATGAATGGGAAACATTATCTTATTTTCCTTAATTCTGACCTCCTGTTTTTCGTCTTTCTCAATTCCTGACAATCACATCTATCTTCTAAGCAACAGCTGCTGGGAAAGGAATGGAGAGCAGAATTCTGAATTCAGAAAGGGTAGGGGATGCTCTCTGAAAGGGTGGGGGGACTTGGAAAGTGGGCAAAGGGTGCCTCAGCTACCAAGAGCTGCAGGTTGCCCAGATGGATGTAGACAAACCATCAGAGATAAGCGTTCTTTGTATTTATTTAGGAACATGCCTCTCTAAGGTGTGTTTCATACTACTAGAGCATGTTTGGGCATGCTTGAAAATTGAATTCATATACAACTCCTTAGGGCATGATGAGAAATATGAAAATGGCTGGGTTCCATACGCTCAACTTTGAGAATTTTGTGTTCTAAAATTTTTAGAACTATGTTTTGGAAAGGGGGCGTGAGTTTTGTAGGAAATACTATACAAGCAGTCCCCAACTTGCAACTGGTCACTTAGTGATCTTTCAGACTTACAATTGACCCTCCCAAAAGATATTTACGGTCCAGTATTGAAGTTTCAGTGGCTGTCCCACCTCCACTCCCGCGGTCACGTGATTGCATTTCAGATGGCTTGCCATTATAGTTATTTGCAGTATCCTGTAAGTCGCATGACCGCAGTTTGAGACATTTTTTGCTGAAAACCGGCCTTTACTTCCAGTTTTCGGCAAAAACGATGGGTTCACTTAACTAACCATACTAGTGTTCACCATACTAGTGTTCACTTAACGACCGTGGTGATTTGCTTAATGACTGCTGGAAACCTACGAAAAAGTCCTTAAAATAGGGTCAGACACGTGATGGCCTGCTTTAAGACTGTCCCGACTTAACGACCATAATGGACGGTCCTAAATTGAGAACTACCTGTCTGTTCAAAATGAAAATGCTTCTGCTGGATCTTTCAATTCTCAGCGGTTCAAATGGATTTCTCTCCGTGAGGATTTAGGATCTCATTTTCTACATTTCCATACACTCCTTTGGGATGCCTTGTGCGTTTTTTTCTGCAAGACAGAATTTCAAGATGGGGCAGTCTGTCTTTGGCACTGTGTATTGTTGCGTACATCAAAATGTGTTCCATTGCAAAAGAGCCCTGTTGCTTAGACATGTTCCCTTTTCAGGCAGAACTTTCAGCCGTTTGATTTTGTTTTTATATTTTGTCTATATTAGTGGAGGTGGTGGATCGATTAAGAACAGATCCCATCTCCCCCATCATCCTGCTCCCCCTCCCCACCTTTTCATTGTGCTACATGTTTGACATTTTGTACTAACTTACTTACGTTTTTAATTTATATATTTTATCTTTTATTATTGTAAGCTGCCCAGAATTACCTCGAGGCAAGATGGGCAGCCGATAAATTTTACAAGTAAAATAAAAAATATATGTTCTTGAATAAAGGCTTAGAGCCTTTTTGAGTTAGAAAAGAAATCAAGGAGGTGTTTGTTTTATAAAATCAGGAATATTAAGGAAAAACGTGGTAGGGAAATTTCTCTGGAAGGTGACCAGGATGAAATGCCATGGCTAAAGCAGATAACATTCATCACAACTTTTTGTAACTGGAGACACATTTTTTTTGACATGGATTCCAGCAGCTCATGCAAGACCCAGGAGGGCCGTGTTGTCAAAATGTCATACAAATGAAGGGAGCCAATTTTATTTTTAGGGGGAGCATATTCTGAGCCTTTCCATTTTTATTGCTAACTGCTTTCCATGGGCTGAACCTATTGCAACCCATGGATATCTTACTGGCATATCTTAGTTTCGTTTCCTGATGTGAAACAGTTGGCAAACGTGCCACGCATTTTTAACCCTCTGTTACCAAATGTCAGTCATGCAGTTCTGGGGAAGTGAAGATGGCTCATTGTGGTGCTTCAGGGACCTTATGCAAACCATGGTTTGTTCACCTCTGGAAATACACAGGCAGTTATTTCAGAGGTGTGAGTTTTGCTCTCTGGGATATTTGGTCAATAATCTCCAGTTTTGGGTCACTTTGCCTTTTCCTCTTAATTCATACAACTCAGTATCAGAAACCTAGCTGCTATCTTTCAGTACTGGTAGTCATCTACCTATGACCACAACTGAGCCCAGAATTTCTGCTGCTAAGTGAGACATTTGTTAAGTGAGTTTTGTCCCATTTTACAACTTTTCTTGCCATGATTGTTAAGTGAATCACTGTGAAATTAGTAACACAGTTGTTAAGTGAATCTCATCAGAAAGTCACAAAAGGGGATCTCAGGAGCTCTGGGAGGCTGCAACTGTCGTAAATATGAGTCAGTTGCCAAGCATCTGAATTTTGATCTATGACCATGGGGATGCAGCAATGGTCGTTAAGTGTGAAAAACTATCATAAGTCACTTTTTTCAATGCCATTGTAACTTTGGACAGTCATTAAACTGTTATAAGTCAAGGACTACCTGTACTTTTATAACAGTGTTTTTCAAATTTGGCAGTTTTAAGATGTGGGGGCTGGAGGATTCTGGGAGTTGAAGTCCATGCATATTAATATTGCTAAGTTTGAAAAACATTGCTTTTATAACATCCGTGCAGTATCTATTGTGATTCCCAAAAGTACAACTTTAAAATTGTATGAGTAGTCCTTGACTTACGACCACAATTCAGACTGGAACTTTTGTCACTAAGCCATGTGGGCATTAACTGAGTCACACCTAATTTTATGAGCTTTTTACCATGGTTGTTAGCAAATGACATGGTCGTTAAATGAATCTGGTTTCTCCAGTTGACTTTGCTTTTCGGAAGTCTGCTGGGAAAGTCGCAGATGGTAATCACATGACCCCAGAATGCTGCTATTATGAATACATTCTGGTTATCTGGCAGCTGAATTTTGATTGCATGACAGACGGTTGTAAGTGCGAGGACTAGCCGTAGGTCAGTTTTTTCACTGCCATCGTAACTTCAAATACTCACTAAATGAATGGTTGCGAGTTGAGAATTACCTGTAATCCTAATGTGTGATAACATTCAACTATACCAGGAGTAGGCAACCTTGGCTCTTTTATGACTCGTGGACTTCAACTCCCAGAATTCCTGAGCCAGTATGGCTCAGCATGAAAACGTCTCCCTTTCACCTCAGCATGGCTGGCTCAGGAATTCTGGGAGTTGAAGTCCACGAGTCATAAAAGAGCCAAGGTTACCTATCCCTGAACTATACAATATCGTATGTCAAATACATTGTTTGGAGGTAGTGAATAATACATTTCCACCACTTTCGGAAGCTGGAATCAAAGCCTTTGCTTCAATTTTCTGCTGGATCATCCAATCCATTTGAAATAAAGTGGGCTGCTTAGGTCTAAAAATCTTACCTTTCCCACATTCTTCTTCCTCTTAGGTTGTTGGCTTCCTCAACCTGATTCTGTGGGCTGGCAATGCTTGGTTTGTCTACAAGGAAACTAACCTACATAATCCTCCCTCCAGCACTTCTCCAAACGACACCAGTTCTCCGTCTCCTTCAGGGATGTGAAGAGTCTGAAAAGGCCTTTGGTATGGAAAAGCACCTCTCGCCTCAGGATGATCCTCGTGGCTGTTACCTTCCCTCTCCTCCCTCCTCCATTGTGTAATTGTTGTGTGAAAAATTGATGGGTTTCCCTTTTGGGTTTCATGTTTTGTTTTTGCTCCGATGCCGAGGACAGAACCGAAAGTGACACCATGCATGAGGACCATTACACTGCATGAAAGCTTGTTCTCTGGATTGAAAAAGAGGATTTTGCTGTCTTGGGTTCGAAGGCTCCATCATGTTAATAAAAGATTGAGTGGGCAGCATTTCAGTTGATCAAAGGCAGTTTGTCATGTGTGTGATTAGGGTTGAGTTTTCCCCGCTTGATATGAAGTACCACCCCTATCAGCATATGCTTCTTAGAAGGAAGTCCCCCCCTGAATTCAGTGGGACTGACTGTCAAGTAAGCATGCTTAGAATCCTGCCTTTGGATTCCCCAGAAGGGAGTTGCGCTTAAAGCATCCAGTTTTATACTGATCTTGCCTTTCTGACTGCTGTCCAGAATGCATAAATGCCTGGGCTTTGCAGTCGGTTTACATCAACCGTAACTCTGGGAGTTCTTTAAAGCTAGATAACTTACAATGCTGGTAGTTGGTCTTCCCCCCCCCCCAATATTCTCATCTACAAACTCAACAGACTTGGCTAATGTGGCCCTTGTGAGCATGTCGCATGTTATGTAGTTAAAGGGCCCCAGGTCCCCCAAAGCTGCTGCACACCTTGAAGCTCCACAGCCACCACAACCTCTCTCATAGTCTTGGTGCAACTGCAATAAAAGAGGCCACTGAGTTGTAATCCTGAATATTGTTGAACATTGTGAAACCCATGGGCAGTGATCTTGCAGATTGTATTTAATTAGCTTGTTAATGACACTTGAATTCAGATTAGGTTTTAACCTGGCCTGGACTACTCTGTTTCTTTTCACAAGCTGGAAGGGGTCTCCTCAAATGTCACTCACATGCTTAGCGTGGCTGAAAAATAATGGTGCAGGATGGCAGTGAATTCTGCTGATGAATCCAAGGAACCTGCAGGAAAGGTGATGTCTGATCGTGGCTTCCAATTTGTTGAAAGGGATTCTAAACAAGAGTTTAATTTCTAGTCCTTCTGGCAGACAAGACATTCTGTAAAATAATGATCAGCATCACTTAAGGCTGTGAATTTATGCTTCTTCCTCTTAAAAAAATATTTGATCCAACCCAAAGCAAAATCTATATGCCAAAGAATCAGGGCTTTATATAAACTATACAGAAGCATGGGGGGCGGGGAGAAATCACACTGTGAAGGAGTTGACAATTGCTTTTTTTCTGTCAAGCACCAGGAAATTCAGGAGATCCAGACAGTTCAAATGGGTTTAAAGATTTATTGTAATCTTGAGCTTGCAAGAATCTGAACTATTAACAGCCAAGGGGAAGGAATTCAAGATGGGCTGGACTTAGATTTCTTGTGGGCACAAAGAGACTCAAGACTGATGGTGTGTTTGACCCCTCCCTCCAGCCCAGCCTGGTCATCTCCTATATTTTCTGGGTAAATATACATTTTATGATTGCAGAATTTGGTGTGAGGTTTGGAGGGGATGGTTTTTCTGGCACAATTTTCCAGAGATCTTGGTTTTAATACTGTCATCCAAATATTTGGTTTTAATTTTTTTTTTTTAAATTGGCTAGAAGTTGAGGTTCTGTTTGTCATGATGTCAAATACCAGAAATGAAGAGACAGAATCTCTGGAAGTGAAAATGTATCTTGCATGATTTTTATTTTTCTAACTACCAATAGAAGAGAATATTTGTAGCTCAAGGCTGAATTGTGGGGTCCTTGGTGCTCTCTGAGCATGGTGGTTTTCTTGCAGACATTTCATTACCACACTAGGTAATATTATCAGTCCATTTATGCTAACTTTAATCATGTTTCCCATTCTGCCATGTATGAATTTGCCTCATTAGCTGCTGTTTTGTTGCCTTGGATGTGCCTTTATTACAACTTGCTTTGCCAAGGTATTCCACCATGGTTGTGGAAATCCACAAAAGTTTCTGATTGCAAATTTATGTAAAGAACATGTATGTGTTCTTTGGATTGATTCTTAAAATAATGGGCAATGTGATCAGCCATGTATCAATTTTTGCTCTGATTCCTATTCATGCCTAGATGTGCTTGTATGATTTTTTTTCCTCCCCTTTTAATATAATTTGCATTTACTTTCTTCATTGTCTTTATTTCATTTACAATGATTTTCATAGTAAGATGTTGCAGTTAAACCTTCAATTTTTATATTTTGTTAGGGACAGCACCTAATCTGCCCCCCCCCCCAGTAGTCTATATAAGATCAATCTTTTGTAAAATCCATCTTATTCTCATGTCCCAGTGGGGGAAAAAAATTGCTATTCTTAATTTTACTGCAGGACAGTGAAAGCTAGGACTACAAGCATGCTTATTAAAAATAGTGTTTCACCAACATTAGGGAGATTAGGGGAAAACTCATTGTCATGTCAGTGTCATCGTTATGCTTGTTAACAGACTTGTTGTACTATCTCTTTATTTCTGGCTTGAGCAGAATATACAGTTGAGTGAATGGGACGGTGTAGAGTTTGGACAAACATTTGTCTGAAATAATATAGGACAGGGGTCTTCAAACTTGGCCCTTTTATGACTTGTGGACTTCAACTCCCAGAATTCCTCAGCCAGCCAGCCACGTTTGAAGACCCCTGGCTTACAGTGTCACTTTCCATTCAGTTGTTAAGCGAGACATGACATGATCACAACTTGCAATTTTATTGCTGGCTTCTTCTTATTGGAAGCTGGCAGTGAAGTGTGCGCAATTTTATTGCTGACTTCTTATTGGAAGCTGGCAGTGAAGTGTGCAGGTGACTATGGGACAGTGCAACAGTTGTAGATTCAAGGATTGGTGTAAAATGACTCCTTCAGTGACGTTGAAACTTCAAACGGTCACTAAACACGATAGTCATTTAGCTAGGTAATCTTAGTTTTTCTGGATAGCTGCAATTCCTTCTTTGGCCAGTTGGTGGTGCTGAAGGAAGTGGACTTCCAGTATGGCAACATTGTTGATCCTGACCATCCTAGCTGTGAAAATTGATCTCTTGGCACACAAATCTTGGACCAACATTGAATGAATCTTCGTGAGGGTTGGGTGAAAGTATTCCAGAAAGACCCTTTGGCCTAAATTTGGAAAGCAGATACCAAGGGGTGGGTGAAATTGCATCTCCTATTACATTGTGGACGTGAGAGGAAGTTTAGAACCTTGGTCTAGGTCAGGGGTGGGGAACCTTGGCTCTTTTATGACTTGTGGACTTTAATTCCCAGAATTCCTGAGCCAGCCTGGCTCAGGAATTCTGGGAGTTGAAATCCACAAGTCATAAAAGAGCCAAGGTTCCCCTCCCCTGGTCTAGGACAGTGTTTCTCAACCTTAGCAACTTTAAGATGTATGGACTTCAATTCTTGGCTGGGGAATTCGGGGAATTGAAATCCACACATCTTAAAAGTTGCCAAGGTTGAGAAATACTGATCTAGGATGTTAGGTTGACTTTCTTCCCATAATTCCCCCAGAAGTCATCCCAGTGCAGCACCTTTGGGAGGCAGGATTATGGGAATGTCAGACTTATAACTGGCTGGTCCTCTTTCCAGCTGATTCCATCTTCTGTTCCATTTCCTAAAATACCTTGCAGCTTTGCTACCACTAAATGATTAAAAAAAAGTGCTAGTTACAACTCAGTCTGAAGAGCAAAAGCTAACCATGAGAGAGACCCTCAGTCTAAATTCAGGTCTTGTACAGCAGTTCAGACACTGGATGCAATTAAAATCCCATTTAGCTATGCAGATTTGCTGCTGCTTCCCTTGAAATGCTGTAAGCAAGAATATTTGGAAGGAGAAGAATGCTAATAAAACGAGCTAACTTCTTCTGTTGTATATTTTATCACTTGATAAGTAGAGCTCTCTCCAAAATCACAGTAAGTAACACAAATAAAAGCTCATTTAATATGTTTTCCCTCCCCTGTATATAATACAATATAAAGCTGTCTGTGCCCTATTCATTCATTTGCAGGGAATTCTATGTTTTGCAACTATGGCCTTATATTCCTGATCAGCTTGAACACATTTGGAATTACAGTTGATGTGCCAATATCTGCCTTTTGCATCTTGTTATGTTGGAGACAGAGGCCAAATGCTTTGTTACACACACAAACATATATAAATATATTAAAGAAGTTCATGTATACACATTGAGCATTTCCTCCAGTCTCATCAGAATTATTTGGAAATGTATATGTTCTGTGCACAACTGGTTTAATAAACATATTTTGCTCACTGATCAAATACTTTCAGTTGCAATTGCTTTCTAGTTTGCAGGGTATGTACAGTTTGGTTTCAACATTTCACTATGCTTCTGTGCCTTTTTGATCTGCCAGTTATCTGATTTTATTTGAAAGCAGGTAAGGAAGCAAAGTTCTTATTCGTAAAGTATCTGAACACAAAAGTGGGAGTAAATATACAAATATACAAAGATTTTGGGATTTAGTTCCTAAAATGATAGCTGGCAAGCCTCAAACCTGCCATTCTCAAAATGCATTAAAGAAAGTTTTTGGGGAAACGGTATGTTCGATAGCTTGTAGGCAAGGTTTAAGTGAAATCCTGAAGCCAAAGGGTGTGGGAGGGGGGAGGATTTGATTCCTGTGTAAGTCTATGAATAGCAGAGACAGGGAAATATATGTGAAGTCCATATGTGAACATTTCTATAATTATCTTTGGTTGGCATGCCTAGAGAAGAGAACTGAACAGGGACCAAAGCAAGTTAGGAATTGTCTGGGTCATAGATCTTGTTCGGAACCTTATTCTTGGCCTAAACAAGAGCTTCTCAAAATTTGGGGCCTCTCCTGAAGTATGTCCCTGGTTTCCAAGAGAGGTTCAGGAACCTCTCTTGCTGACAAGATTTAAAAGGCCCATTTTAGCAGTCCTCAGCTTAACCGAGAAACCCCCCCCCAGGCTGCGTGTTGCAGGAAATTTTATTTTTTAAAAAACTCCCTTGCACGCTGCGGCTTGGAAATGGCGGCCGCGGCCCGTTTCCTTCCGAAAACGGGCTCCGCGGCCTTCTGGCAATGTTTAGTGCCCTGGGGGGGGTCGTGGGCACAGCGCTAGGTGTGCGCTGCAATTTCGCCGCTTTTAAGCTTAAATACGGCGAAAAAAAGGCCTTCGTTGCCTGAAAAGGCAACCAAAAGGCTGCCCTGGGCTGCTGGGGCAAGCTCCGACGATCCGGATTCAAATTTTGAAGCCGAGACTGGAGCTTGCTATTTCCCCCCAAACTGGAGAGAAATATTGGGAGGCCGGGGAGAAAGGCACAGCAAGTGGTCTCTGCTGATCCCTTCTTCCCCCCCCCCCCCGCCCAGAGCCCTGGGAATGGGATGGGAAGCTGGAGGAAAACTCCCCCCCCCCCGCATCCCACCTCTTAATTAATTTGAGATCAGAGCTGATCTCAGGACCTGTGGGGAATTTATTAGAGAAGGTAAAAAATTTTAAAAGATTGGTGGATTCTCCATCTCCATACTGAGAAAAGGCGTTCAGGTAAGACCAAGGCCCCTTTTAGCAGTCCTCAGCTTAACCGAGAAGTTCTCAAACTTGTGTGAGACAGTGATCCCCTAAAATAATATTTTAACACCTTCCCCTCACTAAACGTCACTCTATTAGAGCTCCTTGCTCAAAGCACGCTTTGGCAGCAAGCCACACGAAAGCCAGATTTGTAAACCTGAACCTAACACCAAAAGTTCTCTGCTAGCCAGTTTTGTGCTCACAGCACTGTGTTTTGCAATTGTCCCAGCTCTGTTGGAGTACCTATCAAGCGACCAAGCCAGAATCCAAATATTCTTGCTTCATTTTTCTTCCTCTGCCACCCACCAAATCACTTACTGTTCGACCAGGACAAGGGGGAGTTATAGTACAGTCCTAGCACCGAGTCTGCACCCTTATTCCAGACATTCCTGGCACTGAATCTCTTCTACTAGCAGTTTGAGAATATAACTGAACTTGCAGAGATTGAGTCTAACATGGCAGGCAAGTCCTTTTCAGACATGCTGAATCCTCTGGGAAAAGAGCAGTCTATTGTTGAGAAGTAAACTGGTTGTCAGAATCCAATTATATTTCATCTCTAGTTAACGACTATGGAAAACCCCATTTCTGCCCTCTCTGGATTCTGTCATACGATGAAGGGGAAGGGGGGGTGAACAAAGGGGTTTTATGGCTCTCACTTCCTTCCTTACAACTTCAAAGGGACTGAATGTGGATATCACCAAAAGGACTAATCATAACAATGGGGCCCATCAGCTTTCATCTACTCTCTGAAGTCTCCCTTCGGTCATGAGGAAAAGGGGGTGGGGGGGCTGTTTGGGACCATCTAAAACCTTGAACTGTAGGGCTTGGGCCCCAGGTCCTGTTTAGAACCATTTTCTCTTAATAAAGATGCCTGTTGGAAGAATTATTCCAAGAGTTCTGTCTTCTTAAGATGCAAAGTGGGGTGGGTCCTTACATTAGACAGGACTTGCAGAATTAGTCCACCTGGAAGGGAGAATCTTACCAGGGGACTTTGCAAAAAAATACCATGTCAGATGACAGAGCAAGGAAGGGAGAAAACTCCCCGGAAAGGGAGCCGCTGCCTCAATTGAAACCCTGCCAGATGTTGGGATCTGAGAGGTCAGATTCCTCAGGAGAAGAGGTGGTGGAGACACGGGACCACAAACCTCGGTGGTCAATGAGTGTTGGAAAGAAAGGCGAGTGGGAAAAGAAATCAAGAAAGGTGACCTTGAGACGGGGGGCCAACCAACCAGAATGAAAGCAGGAGATGGAGAAATCCCTGCATGCAGGTGAAGAAGAAGGGAGCTGGGCACTGTACTCGGGGTGGATCCTAGAGAAAGCTATCAACCTGATGAAGAGAACCCTCAGCTCCCTAGGAGAGGAGAATTCTGAGCCCTACGGCCGCCCCAGCTCCCGGAGCCGCAAAGGGAGAGACACCGAGGGGGAAGTGGAACCTGCAGCCCCGGGGACGTCTGCTGATCCAATTGTCCCCACTCCCTGCCGACCCACAGACGGCGATCTGGATGGAAGACACTACCACCGACAACGAAGGCACCGATCCATTCAAAGACTCCCTCTGCTGGATGTGAGATTCAAGGGGGAGCCGACACGCTTGGGGTTTTTCCT